GTTCAGAATGGTTTGATCCCTATTCAGCTGAATTCCTGAGACCAGACGAAATCCAGGTCTCCTACTCCTCCGCCATCTTGCTCCGCCCCCATCCATTTATTTCTTGATGGGCACTTAGATTGTTCCCATATCTTAGTTATTGTGAATAATGCTGCAATAAACACAGGATTGCATATATCCCTTTGATATCCTATTTTCATTTCCTTTAGGTATATACCAAGAAGTGGAATTGTTGGATTATATGGTAGATCCATTTTTTTAAAAGATTTTATTTATTTATTCATGAGAGACAGAGGAGGAGAGAGAGAGAGGAGAGAGAGAGAGAGAGAAGCAGAGGGAGAAGCAGGCTCCCAAGGAGCAGGGAGCCTGATGCGGGACTCGATCCCAGGACCCCGGGATCATGCCCTGAGCCGAAGGCAGACGCTTAACCATCTGAGCCACCCAGGCGCTCTGGTAGATCCATTTTTAATTTTTTTAAGGAACCTCATATTGTTTTCCATAGTGGCTAAACCAGTTTATATTCCCATAACATAAATACACTACATTTGATAATAGCTACCAATAATGGCATCAGACACCCTTTTCAAGGCTTAGTAAGAGATAACAGAACCTGTGATGATGCTACCACTAGTTATCACCAACCCTCTCCTTCCCTGGCTATACAAAAAATTTGGGATTGGAACAAATTGGGGAGGGTGTTCATTTCAGTGGCCTTACTGGGATTTTAGTGTTTGTGGCGAGGAGTCATTTCCTTTTCTCTTGGGGGAAGGGAGGATTGCTTTTCTTTTGTAGGATCCAAATGAATATGGGCCTAAGAGAAGAGTTCACAAAAACAGAAAACGCCTGCAAGCAGAATAGACTGAGATCTCATTCCTCAGTTAGACATCTACTTCAGCAGTAGACTTGCTGATCTTTCCTCTATGCCACTCTGAGCCAGAGAGAGAAGAATTAGAAAAGCTGACAGATAAGGGTGGGGTGGGGTGGGTGTAAAAGGTGAAGAGGTGTGTGGAAATACATCTGCCAGCCTACCCACTGCTTGGTATGGCAAGGATGATGTGTGAATTTCCTTGGTGGGGGGCAGATGGGGAGTCAATTGGTCATCTTGGTAGACAGCTGACTTTGGACTGTAATTGTCACATCCAAGGTGGTTGTTAGGGGAAGTTCTCTCAACAGCAAGAGGCTGCGGAGTAGGAGAAGAGGTGGGAGAGAGGAGAGTGAATAGGAGTCAAGTCTTCTAAGTCAGAGAACTGTGCACTGAGCAGGATCAGTGGGATCTTACAAAGAACTCCCATGTGCCTCCACCAGAGCTGGTTTGTACAATGGCTGTCCTGAGGTCATTCTTTTGGTCAGCCATTGCTAACTAGAGAGTGGTAGAGGGGATGTGACTGGGCCAGATTAGGCCTCTTCAGAACGGTGAGATCCCAGCTCAAACTTACATTTGGGGAAGGAGGAGGAGTGAGACTTCAATGAAATATATGTCTTAAACTAGAATATACATATATAAAACAAAATGATCAGAACATTAAGGATCTGATGATATGTCTTTAAATGTAAGGAAATGGAGATTATACAACCCAGTTGAATTAAGTAACTGGAAAAAAACCAGTTTCATATGTATTGGTCATGGAGTTGGGACTGCTCGATAAATGGATTACATTAAAATCTTCATGTACAAGAAGCATTAGAAAAAAATATACCTAAATACGGGTGATAGAATTATTTTTTGGTAATTATCATTTTTTCTTTAACATATCTGCTTTCTTATTATAACTTAAATTTGGAAATACAGATGTGTTATTAATTAGTGTATAATTCAGTGCCTGATATGTTTTATGATAACATACGTTTATGAAAAAATAAAGTAAAATGGAACAACAGTGTTTTAACCTATTAATCAAAATGATGCAGGGTCATCTGGTGCAGGTACAGAAAGAATTCTTGAGACAATGTATGGTGCAACTTAGTAAGTTTATTTAAGTAGCACGGGGACAAGACCCATGGACAGAAAGAGCTTTACTTTTGCTGTGTGAGGCTGGTGGTTGCTTAGTAATCAAAGGGAAGAGGGCCTGCAGGGAGTCTCAGAATACAAAAGTTTCTTCAAATTTGTTTGAATTTCTACTTGTAAAACTACTTTTGCAACAATCTTCTGGTGCTTGTAATCAATATTAGCTATTGGTGAGATATACAGGCAGTCCTGAGACCCTTAAAGAATGTAGCAACCAGCAAGTGTTTGATCCATATTGAAACTATGCATACTGTAAGTCAGCCTTCTCTGCTAAGGGTAGACATTTTCCTATTTCTGTCCCTTATCAATAACATGTATTGTTAGGGGTCTCATTGCTAGACAGAAAATAACATTGAATAAGTTATCACACTTTAAAACAATCTATTTTGAGGAAAATAATTAGTACAGAAAAATTGCTTAGAAGATACAAATTTGGTGAATTATATAACACATACTGCGTATTTCATAAACCCATGCTAGAATATATGAAAAGGAAATTACTCCAAAACAATTGACTAAAAACCCTTGTGTTCCCCAAATGGGCTAAATAGAAAAAACAAAGCTTGAAGGAGGTGAATTGTTGCAGAAAGCTATATTTTCCTGTCTTACCCTAGAAGGAGTGACATTTTTCCTCATGTTCCAACTCCCAAGTAACAGAACAATAGAGTTCTTGGTATCACCCAAATCACTGACTTGCTGATTGTCCAGTCCTGAATTTTGGCACTTTTGTCTATCTGCAAGGGCTTCCCCATCAAAGCTCAAACGCCTCCACAGACCCCAAGTCTATAACTTTTCTTTCCCTGAGATTCAGCAGTTTTTGGTGAAATCTTATGGTTTTCGTGCCTTTCTGTACATTTAATCCTAAAAAATAATCCAGTACACATACATTGTTTTACTCAGTATCAATGAAACAATAGAGGAATAAATTATGATTAAATAAAACTTTAATCAAGAGGACTATATATTCCATTGATCTGCCTTTGAGCAGGATTTAATCCGAACCACCTTCTCCTACCCTGACCCCACCCTCAATCTATCCTTGTGCTTCTTTCTTAAGCTCTTTCTTCTGTGGTATCTTTTAGCATCTAAATGGCCATTAGGAAGATTGTAGTATCAACTCAACAGATATGGTGAAGCCTAATTGATCATCTCTTGTAGCTTGCTACCTGTGCCATTGCAAACATTTCCCCAAGGTTCTTCTCAGAGCTGCCTTTACTTCTTTGTTTTTCAGGCTGTAGATGAGGGGATTCACTAGGGGAGTGACCACACCATACTGTATGGAGAAGATCAGCTCCAGACGTGAGCCTGAGGTTGGCATGAGATGACGGAGGAAAGCTGAGCCATAGAAGAAGCTCACTGCAGTGAGGTGGGAGAAGCAGGTGGAGAAGGCCTTGTTTCTGCCCAAGGAGGAGCTGATGCTCAGGATGGTGGAGACAATGCGCACATAGGAGAAGAAGATCAGGAAGAATGTGCCAAAGCCATGCAGGAGTGTAGAACAGACCAGGACAGTGAGGTTGGTAGAGACATCAGAGCAGGACAAAGGGAAGAGAGAGGGCAGCTCACAGCTGTAGTGATGGATGGTTTTGGCCTCACAGAAATCCAAGTTCATTATCAGGGGGATGTTAATGAGTGCATCTAGAAAGCCCAGGCTCCATGAGCCCCACACAAGCTGCATATACCGCTGATTATTTATTACCTGGCCATAGAGGAGTGGGTGACAGATAGCAGCATAACGGTCATAGGCCATTGCTGACAGTAGGCAGACTTCTGTTCCACCAAAGTCAAACAGAAAGAAGGCTTGAATCAGGCATCCCACTATTGAAATGATTTTTGTTTTAGACAGGAGGTTCTCCAGTAGCTTGGGCACAGTGACTGAAGAGAAGCAAAGATCCAGGAAGGAGAGGTGACTCAAGAAGAAGTACATGGGTGTGTGGAGGTGAGAATCAGTTCTGATCACCAGCAGCATTGTCAGGTTCCCCATCAGGGTCAAGAGGTAAATCCCCAGGAAGAGCACAAAAAGCAACACCTGGACATTGGGGTCAGCCGGCAGCCCAAGGAGGATGAAATCAGTGATGGTGCTGTGGTTTCTCAAGGCCATTTGGAGAGCATGTTTCCTAGAAATAAATATAGGATAGACTTGAAATTTGTCTTGATTATACCCAATTACATAGTTAGGGACCCTCTTTTATGTACATGCTCCTAAATATTTAGGTTTCACATATCCCATTATTGACTATCTAGAATTCCTTCTTCCCATCTAGTATTTGGTTTCAAACTCACTGTGATATTTCCATATAGCCGTTATTCTACTTAAAAGACTGCTGAGGAAATTTGTGAATTTGTTCAGACCTAGTCCATCAGCTGGACACTGCTTTGTCAGCAGTGCTCTGGGTGTGTTTTACACATTGTAGCAGAGTCTTCTCTCTGTAGCAGTTGTCTTCTCTCCTCCATTTTCCAACCTGTTCTTGCCCCATTTCAAAACCCTCCTAAGACTCATAATTGCTTAATAGTATCATTTTGCCTTTCTATAGCTTTTTGTCATTGATACCAGATGTTAACATATATTCTTGATCCTTTGGGACAAGATTAATAGATGATTGTGTGTGCGTGTGTGTGTGTGTGTGTGTGTGAATGTTGGATGTGGGGCAAATGAATAAGGGAAGAAGGCATTGCTAACTCCTTTTTGCATTTTAAAAAATGAGTATCATAAATTATGTGACTCGTCCAAGGCCATGACTTGTATACATAGACTTTACAGGACCCTGAGACACCAGGTCTTTCTTCCATACAGTAACTTGCATTTAAGGCCTGCCTTCAGATCCTCCATCATACATGGCATTTAGACAACGTTACAGTTGGTCTCAACTCTTTTGGTCTCAGTGCTGTGGGCAGATGGATGTACTTGCTTCCGAGCACCCCACAGGAATGACTTTCACTCTGTTTTTACTTGAGCATCTGCTCTATTTGAAATGCCCTGCCTTTAAGGTAATTAAGAAAAATCTTATTTATTGTTTACCCCATCTTAATTTTGACCTTTTATTGAGATCTTTTGTGATCATTTGCTTCTCTGAACTCCCATAGTCCATAATGATAAAAAAACTAGCTTTTTTTTTTTTTATTGAGGGCCTAATATGTCTTTGGCACTCTTAAAAATTTGACATTTTCTTATTTAATTTCACAAGACATTCTGGGTAGATCATTCTATCCTAATTTTTCAAATCTAGAATTTTGCCTTCCCAGAGTGAATGAGTGGCTACATCAGGATTTCACCTGCATTTTCATTATTGTTTCTCATCTGGCACATCTGCCCCGCCTTTTCTTATGTATTTCCAAGGGTGTTAGCTTTCCTCCTATAGCATCCATGGAGGTGCTCCACTTGGGTAACTTAAAGAAAGAACCTAACATTCAGCAGTGAAGGATGTAGTTAACTGACAAGCATCCAGTTGCAGTACCTTTGAGATTGACCGCAGCTTTAGCAGAGGCCAAAGAGTTCCCAAGCAGTCAGTGACTGAGCCTGCCTTCTCAAAGGGGCGGTCATTCCTCCAGACCTCCCACTGGCTTGTATGACAGGCGGGGATACTCACCACTATACTAACGAGGACGCGCTGTCCACTGGCTTGTATGAAAGTTCATCAGATCTGTACTGCAGTCTGAAGCTCTCTGAGACATTTCTGCTTTCCTTCCATCTTTCCTGTTGCCAGTGTCATGTCTGGATCATGGTCTGAAGGCTTTTCTGACCCAATCCTGATTCCTACTCTTTATCTTTCACAGGCCCCTCCCCACCAAATTTCATGTAATCCTACTTCTACATCAACATCTCTTCTGGGAGGACCCCACCTAATATACTTCCACTCTGTGCTAATTCATTAACTCACCATAAGCAACTCTCTTCATTTTATGCCATTGCTGAATCACCATCTTGTTTTGGCAGTTAGCGGTTAGACTATTTATGCCACGTTTCTTTCTTTTCTTTTTTCCCTCAAGTAATGAACCACAGTTCTTTGATGAAGGTGATTATGCTCTAAATTACTTGGCACCTCTATACCATAATACTTAGCCCAATAGGAAGCATATATGGTGGGTCATTTATCACCTTTTGTTGGATGAAAAAAGAAAGCAATGAAGTGAATTGAAGACTGTTTAGCTAATCTTCTTTAGAAAAGTCTTCAGACTCATTAACTTGATAAGGATTCAGCACTAAGAAGACAACAAAGTGGGACGCAAAGAAATGGTATGTGTGTATGTATGTGTGTTTGCATGTGTGTGTAGATTGTCTCAGTTTTGAGCAACTGGTGGTGTACTTAATGCATTCCATGCCTACTATCCCATTTCAGACTATCAGAGAGGCTAAAATCCATGACATTCCTTGTTCATTCATTCATGTTTCTGAACATTAATTTATTTAGTGTATCTATGGGTTCTTTAATGCATCCTTTCCCTTAACTTAGTCTTCTATACATTTATTCTTTGATCATTCTTCTATCTATCCACCCATAACTCAATCATTCATTCACAAATTGCCTGCTATATGTTAGGTTATGCTGGGCTTAGAGAAGACCACATTTCAGATACTTACATTGAACTGTTATATGTATGCACATTTTTCTCCTAGATTTTAAGTCACTCTTGTCCAGTATCCAGGGATGACTATCTTTCTAGACTAGTTTCTTACGCTTCATTTGCACTTGATATGGCACTATACATTCAAGTTGCGCTTCTTTATGAAACATCCTTTGGTTGGCAACTTCATACAGTCTTCTGACAAGTCTCTTGACCTCTTAGCCTACCTTTTATTCTCTAGCTTAGCTCTGACACCGGAGTCTGATGTTGGTATTGCCGAGAGGACTCACAACAACTAATTAAATCCTGGAAAACTAGTCAACTTTCCAGTCTTCATCATTTTCTTTACTTGGACAAAAAAATTAGAGAAGGCTTTTCTCCACTATTAATATTAAACATTCACAGAGATCCCCAGATTATTCACAGAGATCTGACTTAGAACTTAGATCTAGATTACATCTCAGTCTGTCTTACAGGTGAATCTGTAGTTTAGGATGGCCCAAATTAACTCTGATTCAGCAAACAAAAAGAGAAACTTGCAGGAAAAAAAGTCTATTTTAAGGAAGCTCTCATCTCTGAGTTCAAGTCCTTTCAAATGAATATTTTCTCTGCTTATCTTCAATAGCAAAATAACAATCACAACAAACCATAATTAATTTCAATCATTTTTTCTGGAATTTGAAAATTTCTCCAAGTATTTGGAATTTTCTGAAGGAATCAGACAGATAATTGCTTCAATTATTCTACACCAATTTTTTTTTTAAGTAGCCTTCACGCCCAATGTTGGGCTTGAACTCACAATCCTGAGACAAAGAGTTGCATGCTCTACTGACCCCTACATGTACTTTTTAAAGTATACCTGACCACCTTGTTTATTGGTGTTTCTAACTATGCACCTAAGAACACGTCAGCATCTGCAGAAGATATTGGGAAGTGTCATTTAAGGATCCAAATCCTGAAAACTTTGGTCCAGGAATGAAGGCCTATATGACTCAGCAGTGGGGCAAGCAGCAGTCTGTGTATTGTGATTCCATTTGTTTAAAACAGTCCTGACACATACCTTTTTTTTTTTTTACAGATGAGGAACTAAGACAGAGAAAAGTTAGGTAACTTTCTCAATAGTAAAGTTAGTTGGAATTTGGGCTCAGGAAATTTACATTGGACATTGTCATATCCTAATCAGGGGACAGGTATCTGGGGTCATTCCCTGGAGAAGAGGCCATATAACATTTAATACAAAGTGCCTAAAGTCTTGATAGCCTCACATATACTTAATTTTTTTAAATGTTAGTTAATTGAACAAACACTCGGATTGATGGATTATTGGAATGAGAAGAGAGAGAGTTCGAGTGTTTCCTCTATTCACTGAATGTGGGGATGTTCTGCATAACCAAATGCAGGTGGGATGGGGTAGGAATTTGTTTACTCAGGTGTAAGTGGTATAAAGACCCTGGATATCCAGACAGGTACCTCAACTAGGGAGGAGGGATGAAATCGTAGGAGAGAACTGAAAAAGAACTTTTTAAATCCAGATATTTTCCCTCAAACCTGTGCAGATCCTGCCCTCCTCTCTGTGTGCTTCACATCATCTGTATTTACTTGGGCCAAGGGGAGTTAGTAATGCAAAAAGAAAGAGAGAGAACTTTCTGTAGTACATGTGGTTTGGCGTCCTAGAAGAAGATGGTTTCCTCAGAGCTGCTGTTATCTGCTGTCTACTCTGGTGTACGCTCCACTATCCCCATCCACCTTGACTTTTTGCTTCCACATGCTGGTCCCAGGTTTCACTGAACTGCTAGAGCCCAGGCAAAGGCAGAGTTTGAACCCAGGATGCAAGATGTGCCAGATCCCAATGCTCAGTGTAACTCGTTGAGGAGTTTCCCATGGAGCTGCTTAGGTCCAAGGCCCCACTGTATGGAAAATGTGATTCCTGGATCAGGGACCTCAGTCTCCAGCAGACAGAAGTTAATGAGAAGATAGGAAAAGAAGGCTGGATTAGGAGAGGGAAAGATAGGGAACAGAAAGGAGAGAGGAGAAACTTCAGAGCAATCATAGTGGACATTACCGAGTTCCAGGCTTTTTCTGATTCAGAAGATTTCCTGTCACTTTGGTCTTTTCATGGTGGAATCTCATCTGGACTGGGATGGTCTCTATGCCCATGGGAACCAATATTTCTGTAGCCTAGTTACAGGAGAGGCAATCAGTCCTTTTATTTATTTATTTATTTCTGGTTGGAAGTGACAGTGAGAACAGAAAACTGATTACCCCAGAGCTAGATAGTCTTAAAGGTAGAAGCTTCAAGACAAGCATTTTCTGAGCTCTGACTTGGTCCTGCCTTTCTCTCCTACTCATTACATGGTAAGACTATCAAATCCTCAACAAAAACTGTGAGGAGTTTCCCTCCAATTGTCATAGCCCCAATCACGGAGGCATCTCTTTAATTTCCTCTCTGATTCTAAATACTGACATAGAAGAGTCTCGGAAGTGAGTTATTCTCACATAAAACCCTTGAGGAGAGGGTATATATAGATTAGGCAGTCA